ATAGACACAATAGGTAGAATTACAAGGCTTAGAATTAGACAAGGTATTTTTTGTAAAGGGATAAGCCAAGATTTTTGAAAATGTACTGTTGCTGAGATGGACAAGACTAGGTGGAGAAGCAATATCGCCTGTAATACAGTTAAAAGGTGCAAACAGTTTGAAGTATTTCTTAGTACAGATAAACAAGAGTGGCAAATAAAGGGCACAAGCTCTATTATAGAGGATCTAATACCACCCAAAGTATTTGAAAAGAGTGAAAACTCTCGCATCAAATTAGAAATTTTTTTCTTAGGGCAAATAATTAATTATGAAGGCAACACACTATTAACGTAGCAACAGCTCAGAGCTCTAAGGGGTAAATGTATAACTGAAATGAAAGCACGGTGGTTTAGCGAAATAGAAAAGAAGGTTTTGGTTACAGCTGAGAGAAGAATACTAAAAAGGGAATATCAGCTAGGCCGCAGAAATCCAATGTATCTCCCAGTATAGCTCGAGAAATCAAAAACAAACAAGAGATGCAAGCCCTGGATAGTACTGAAAGATCAAGATTCAACAGCTTCAGTAATCGGTCATGTTTTAGATGCTAATGGTGAAGATACATACTTCGAACACTGGCTAACGGAGCCCAGTCACAATACAGGGTTACTGCACCGATGTACTAGATGTAGTATAAATATAGCAAATGAAGCAAATCAATGTGTAAGCAAGAAGTCGATAACACAAGACCTTCATCAAGTTAAAAGTATTGTTAAGAAAGAGAATAAATAGTCTATACTAATCCCTACACCCTGGTTTTTCGCACCTACTGTTCTTGAGCAAGGTATAGAAGAGAGTTTTGTAGAGCTGCAGCCAATCGAAAACATAGACATCACCTTCATTAAAAGTCAGCACTTTAAACCAAAAGTTGAAAAGTTATTAATTGAAAACATAAATTTCAACTTATACAAAAGAACCAAAAACCCGATGTTCTTTATGGATGGATCCTTGATACGTCCAAATGATAAATCTGCGAATATTGATCTAATAGGAGCAGGGTAGATACAAATACATATAGAACAACCCGAAGTAGAAGTCACCAGAGGTAGTATAAGGGTGGAAAAGTGGCCTTCATCATCGAGACCCGAACTGGCAGCGATCTGGTGTGCATTATTAACAACATGCTCAGGAAGTATAGTTGAGATTAATACGGATAGTATGGTTGCAATTTATAGTATTCAGAAAGC